CTTGAGATTCCAGCAAACGAAATCTTTATCACTCAGCTTGGAGGCTGGCACAGGAGAGCACTCGCAAATACCTGTCCATTTCCCCCATAAATTTTCACTCTCCTGCGACGACATCGACACCATCAGTACCAGCGTCTCCATGGTGGACCCCAATGGGTTTACAGTTGCTTTTTTTCGAGATACAGATGGGAGAAAGGTCGCGGTGGATCCTTCAGGGCGTGTGTCGTCGATGTCGAATGTGACTCAGTGCATGGACCCGAGAAATGTACAAGCGGATTCATGAACTTGCTGGAAGTTCTTCGTTCGTTCACGAACATCAAAGGGATTGGAGGGCTATTATGAGTCGGATGTTTGGCTGGAGCAGGAGTTTCTGAGATGTTTGACAAACTAGCATCGATACGCAAAGTTCGTGCGGCTTTCAAGAATTGCGGGAACAACGTCAAGGGATGAGGTGATCAAGGGTGCGTGCATTGTCTAATATAGCGACAGTTACTTATCTTTCTCTATAGGTACTCTCCAAGGCCTAGGCTATTCTCAATCATGTAAAGCAGCTCTGAACTTATGAAATGCGTAACAAAACTGCTGTCATGCCATGCCAAGCCACAGTAACATTTTACTAATTTATCTTCCTTCTCCTAGTGGTGGCACCCGCAGTTGAGTTGCAGTTAGGATGGACATTCCATGGGACATCTGGCCCATCTCTCATATCGCTAGCTCTGTGTGAAACGAAGTGCATTTTATACTCATTACCCATGGTCCCTTGTGTACTTATTATGTGCAATAGGAGGACACACTACTGAGTCTGCAGAAGTTTTGCGTACAGACATTTAGCCGGATTGCTCCCATGATCCATGTGCGGCAGGCTTTTTTCTACCCTACCCACTCGGTTCACCGCACGAACTTGCAAGCCACACTCATTTGGATTGTCACATCTCCAATAGCCCCACCTTCATCAATCTGTTGCCCATGGAGCACTACGGACGCGGTAACATCGACCAGTCAAATCACGAACGTGCGTGTTATTTTGGTGTAAGGTTACGCGCCGCGTCATAGTGCCCGCTTCTTTTTTCAGCGCCGTGTAGTACCTAGCTTTCCCTCAAAATGCAACTGCAAGTTGTGGGGCTGTGTTTCCTAACTTCACTTTCTTAGCCCTCTTGGAGCCAAGGACACCAAGACGTACAAAGCTGCATGTCTTCGCCGGAGGTAGAAAGGGTCGAGAGAAACGTTCCTCTTGCCGAATATGAACGCGAGGATGTCCAAAATAGACGGCCGGCGTTTCTCCTCACTTTGACGGAAGTGAAGCTTTTGAGTATCGCAGGAGTAGGATTTTTGCTTGATGGTGCGTCTAATATTCCAGTGTATACGGAACGTGTTGGCTGATAAGATTCAAACAAGCCTACGACTTGTTTATCATCAATCCAGTGGCGACTATGCTACAGTACCGGCTGTACAATGGCCAGTCGCTACCTCCGAATCTCGAAGGGTTCATGAAAGCTGGTGCCAACATCGGAAGTGTTATTGGACAATTCTTGTTTGGTGAGCATCCGAGGATGCCTCTTCTTTTTCGTGTCTCACGTCCAAACTTTTCTAGGCTACCTTGCTGACTCTCTCGGTCGTAAGGCCGTCTACGGAAAAGAACTCATGCTCATCATCCTTGCCACTATTCTCTGCCTTACCACGCCTACCGGTCAGATCTCTCCTGATTCATGTCTCATCTACTTAGGCATGTTCCGTATCCTGCTTGGGGTAGGCGTTGGAGGCGATTACCCTATGTCTGCATCAGTCACTTCTGACCGTGCTAATCTCCGCAAACGAGGCACCCTGCTCGCGTACATCTTCTCAAACCAAGGATGGGGATCTTTCCTAGGATCTCTCATCACCATCATCGTTTTGGAGGCCTACAAGCACGTTATGAACACGGAAGGCAAGACTAGCAAGGTCGATGGAGTGTGGAGGATCATCATTGGCGTATCGCTCGTACCGGCGTTCGGAACACTTTACCAACGCTTGACGATGCCGGAGAGTAAACGATTCGAGGCCTCGAAGAAACTGGAGCAGGATGATTATATATCCGAACTGAAGAAGGCGAATGAGAGGACGGAAGGCCTGCACGGGTTTGAGACACCAAGCTCGGCTTCGTCGGTGGATCGACCACCCAAAACTGAGACCGATGGTACTGTGGATGTCAGCGGTGTTAAGTTTAACGCAAATGAAAGTCCGGAAGCAATAGCAACTAAAAAAGAACAGGCACATTTTGGTGGTACGTTTGGCATATCCCGGTTTCGGCTCTTGCTCAGATCATCACAGAATTCGTAAAATATTTCTCTGAGTGGCGACATGCCAAGCTTCTGATTGGGACATGTGCTTGCTGGTTCCTCCTTGATATTGCGTGAGCCCTTGGAGTTTCATATATTCGGACACCGCTTACGCTCGTAAACCTTTCAAGATTCTATGGAATCAACCTAAACCAGAATGTCGTATTACAGCAGGTCGGCTTCGCTGGTAAAACTGGAACGCCTTGGGAAAAGCTATTCAACGTCTCAATTGGTGGCATACTGATTACCGCTCTTGGGTTTCTACCTGGTGAACCTCAGGATCATCTAACGATCAAAATAATACCACTGACCTTTCCGAACAGGGTATTACGCATCTATCCTCACGATTGAAATCCTCGGTCGAAAATGGATTCAGATTCAAGGTTTCCTCCTCGCTGCCCTATTCTGTGCGTTGCATTCATACCACTCTGAAGGCATCGTCCACTGACCAATATACTAGTGGCCATCCTTGCAGGAAAATTTGATACTCTTAGTCACGCATCTTTCATTGTATGCTTTGCCTTCCTCCAGTTCTTCTTCAACTTTGGTGCAAATACGACTACCTACGTGCGTGTGATTCTTCCCTCTTTCTCTCGAGCTCTATACCTAACGAAGCTACAGTGTTATCCCGCAGAACTATTCCCGACTCGCTTCCGTGCATTCGCGCATGGGATATCTGCTGCCGCTGGAAAGGCCGGGGCAATTATTTCAGCATTGGCCTTCAACGAGCTGAGCAAAGATATCGGAACGCCTGCTGTACTTTGGATATTTTTTGGGTGCTGTATCGTTGGTGCTGGTGAGTGGAACGATGCGAGCAAGCACCGGTGTCGATCGCTGACTTGCAATTCTATATAGTTTTCACTTTACTTTTACCTGAAGTAAAGGGCAGAGACCCTGACCTTGTGCTAGCCGAAGAGATTCGGGAGGCGAGAGAAAAAGAGCTAGAGCTCCCTAAGTCCTTGTGCCACTTCAGAATGATATAGTCATGACTTGTTATAACGGATTCCCTATGCTCTCGTCTAGTAATACTTGTTGATCGTATGTAAACATGTAACCCTGAATTGTATTCTCTCCCGTGATGACCTTGGCTATTTCTGTGTGTGTAGTAATAAATAACGATTGCATTTAGTGGCTTTGCCGGACTTCCTAATTAGGATGCCCAAGCTGAACTGAACGAGCGGTACACAGACCATCCTTGAATATTTCGCTGGATTTGGCTACGAGAAGCCACCACCACATGACCTTGGCGGTCCCATTGTCCTACCAGTATGGACAGTGTCAAAGCGGATATGTATATATATGTTGGGTCGAGCACCGTGCACTCTTCTCTACAATTAACCACCATTCTCAAGACCACCACCCTCTCGATTCGCCTGTTTATTCACTCACCCACACACGCACCGTTTTCGACCATGCGATTCATCGTTCCATCTGTGTCACTCTCTAGTCAGTCACTCACTGGGACCCAGCAAAAAGTTTGGGAGGCTCGGGGGTTCAGCGAAGACGAAGTTTTGACTGCTCTCAAACAAAAGCGAAATGGCGCAGGAAAAATCGACACTCAAGAATTGCGGCAGAATGAAGAATTAGCGCCGTTTGGGGTCGAGACGTTCTACGAGTGGTACAAAACCCTCACGCCGGAGAAACGAAAGGCCTTGATGGTGTCTATGATGAGCGTATGCAAGGAGCGGGCTCGTCAGGGAGGAAAGAATAAGCCTGTGCGATTGGAGAAAGAGTCGGCTGAGGAAGTGTTGCAAGTTCCGTCGAAGGAGATTTCCGACCCAAACGACTTGGCGTTCCAATGGCGTTTGGAAGCGGATGATTGCGCGCTGGTAGTGCAATTTACCAAATGGTACACTGCCCTCAGTGAGGAGGAACAGGGCGGTGCGTTGGCATATTCAGCGATGAAGGATGGGGACAATGTGGAGGAGGCGGAGAGCGAGTTGGAGAAGGTCAGGGATTTGTCGGGTTTGCAGGCCCTGACACGCAAACAATCCGAGGAGCTTACGGATCAAGCCCATTCGTACGTGCAGGCAAGAAATAATTGTGTGGTAGTGCCTAATTTTCCTACTTGTTCCAGGGACACAGATGAAGGGCAACACGAGACTTCAGTTGTCTACGCGAGCGACGAGGCACTACCTCGTCCGCCCGCACCTGGGCTGAGGGCAAAAGTCACGCGTGGTGGAACGTTGATCTTGGACAAATGGGGCGATCCTATCTGGGAAAAGATCCCTGAGCAGAGCAGAGGGAAAATGTAAAGGACTTAGTCGGATGTCATTGAATCATACAATTCGTTTTTTAAACATATACAACTCACGTTCATTTGTTTTCCTTCTTCCCAAATCATCCGTTCATTACCCATTTCTTCCTCTTCGCGTTCCTATCGATTTACTTAGTGTGTAGTCAATATTTATCTGGAGCATCGAGTAGAACCTGAAATAATACCGTACATGCCACTCGCACATCCACTCTTGATCACCATCATACTAGTAAGGAGCATAGCCATCAATGAGCTGTTGTAAACACTGCACGTCTCGAAGCAGATTGAAACGAGGAACTTGACGAATAGCGACATGATGATGATGGATGTGCCTAGGAAGTTATGGTCCAGGCGCTAACAGGTGTTGAACGTTAACCTTCCAAAAAAAAGAGGAAGATGACGACAGCGATGTCGCAAAACTAATCAATAGCCCACCGCGAGGGTCGAACTCGCAGCCTTCAGATACATCACTTCAGCCCGCTAGACTGTCCGTAAAAGTCTGACGCTCTATCCGATTGAGCTAGGCGGGCCGTTGTTATTTTTGAGGGTCAACTGTATATCGCAAGATACCTGGGTGCCCGTTGAGGCGTGGTGAATAAAGCTAGAACAACTGAGATCGAGAACAACTAATTCTATAGTTAGATGGCGAGCTCTCCAGACTTCTTTTCGTCAACCACCTCATCCTGTCTTACCTTCTCACCGATCCCTGGAAGCTCAACTCTTCTCAAGAAAAAGCACAACAAAATTTCCAACCCCGAGATACCCAGCAAAGTCCAATACCCTTTCTGCCATGCACCTACGTATGCCTCTACTACAGCCGTATGCGCTGCACTTCCTGCGGGAAATAAGCTCGCCGTATGTACAGCATCATTCGTGTTCACCGATCGTTCGGAGGCAAGAATGACGGGCGATGTTGAAAGCGAGTGACTGAAGACGTTGTTGATGACTGAAAATAGGCGGTTTCATGCTAGATAGAAATCAAGGCTATGTGGCATCACTCACCTGCTCCGATCGCTGCAACACCGAGCGTTCCTCCGAGATTGGGTGCGCATCCGACGAATGCTGTAACCGTTGAAAGCTCGTCAGCGGGAATACCAACTTGGGCGATGACCATTGAAAGTTGGGTCCCCTAAGGTCGACATAAAGGTCAGCAAAAGTACAAGGGATGAAAACGACACTCACCGAACCGAAGCCTGCGCCAGCAACTAAGGAGTATCCCACAATCTTTCCGATTGAGCTAGTTTCGTTCAGAGTAGACATTAAACCCTGGACAACAAGATACACGTCAAGTTCAGGCACATATGCGATTCCATTTAAGAAACGTACCAACCCAACAGGCAGAAGCAAGAGCCCTCCAACTAAAAAGAGACGAACGTGGCCATATATACGACACAGTTCGTTGCATACTGTGCTAGCAATAGCAGCAATGATGAGGAAGGGAATAACGAGCGCAGATGCAAGAATGGTCGAGTGACCAATGACTTGAAGGAACACTGTACCGCACATCGCCATCAGGTCCGGTGAGAAGCCTTTAATAGTAAGGAAGTACCTGGTAAATAGAAGGTCTGGGAACATTTCAGTTTTAACAAAAGAAGCAAGCGAAAGACAGCACACATTTGCAAATATGTGAAAGAACAGCAACGTCCTAGTCACGAAAGCAATCGGAACGTTTCTCCATTCCCACTTCACGAACAACCTTGTGGGAGCGATGGGCATCTTCGCGTATTTCTCTGCAACCCAAAACGCGATGAATGCTACACCACTTGCACAGAGCAATCCGATTATGGTCGGCGAGTTCCATGGTATGGTTTGACCAGCCGAGTTCAGCGAGACGATGAAGAAGCCAAGAGAGGCGACGAGCAAGAGCATGCCAACAATGTCGACTTTTGTGATCACGTCACGAAGAGAGCGTATATGGGACTCGGCCCGTGGAAGGCGAAGGGAAAACCATAGAACGATGGTTACTAGAAGATATTAAGTAACAATGGCGTAATGAAGACGTGTGGATCGACTCACTGACTGGTCCAAATGGTGCATTAAGAAGAAAGATCCATCTCCAAGCTGCCCGACTTTGCAAGGAGGCCCCCAAGGATCGGCCCGAGAGAGTCAGCCTACGATGAATACAACATTGATGAGATTCATGTAAGATGCTCGCTGTCGTTCGTGCGTAAGCTCTTGAAACAGCATAAGTAAGAAACAAAGGTAGAGCTTGACGACATGACTTTGACGACTGACGAGTAATCACAATGCATGATAGCGTGAGCAGACCAGCACCACCAATACCAGCAATCAAACGCCCGGCAATGATCTGAGCAAGTGATTTGGCTGTTCCCGCAATGATGTTCCCCATAACGAAAATCCATAACTCGATCATCAAGAACCTTTTCACGCCAACAGCATCCGAAATCCTGCCTAGGATGGGCTGAACAACAGTAGTAGTGAGAAGATAAGAGGTCGATATCCATGCCAGGGAACCTGTAATGCTCAAGTGCTTCACCGATGCTTGATACCGAAGTCGCGATTAGCAGTTTGCTCTTAAAGAAAATTAAGAATAAAGCGCCCGAGAAATTGCGACAACGCACCGAATGCATACAGAAACATCGCCAGACCCAAGACTGTGTATCTCTTCAACCAAGTACTCGTGCACTCACAACCAACTTGCCCACCTTAAGAGGATTAACCAGTATTTGGACCGGTGACATGTCGTCGAATTTTGGGAACCTCGTTTTGCGCATTTGCCCCATCCTCTTCGATTATGGTAGCCTCTTGAGGCGTTTTTGGCGAAGAAGAACGCGTCACCGTCTGAACCTCGTCTTCCTGCTGACCGGAGGCCATGGATGTGAGCGCAGGAAGCAAAAAGCTGGTCGAGTCATCTATCTATCATTGCCGCAGTCCGACCGAGTGTTCACATGGTTGATCCTGCTCCCCTGAGTATGCTGTATGATAATGTAGTCCCCGTGTTGATCGTCCCATATTGGAGGCCAGGTTGAGATAGATAGAATCATGGTAGAGAGAGAAGGAACGTAGAAAACGTGCGACAAAGCTTAGCGACGATCAACGACCTCACACCGCAACGGCTAAAAATGCCATTGTCCACGTCAGTCACCAGTACAAGATGATTTCGTATGATAGTACAGTTTCAAGGTGCAAGGTCGGTAGTACGCATGTAGTATATATAAATAGCAGAAAGCAGGCTTGTAGCAAATATCACAACCTAAGGCTTCAAGACAAGAGCAAGAACATGTGTTTCACTAGGAAGAACCATTGAGATGCCCTGTTCTCGGAAGTAATATGACTTCCACTCACCGTAAAGAAGGTGCGTCGTTCCTGGTTGCGATGAACTGGACGGAAATCTGCCCGCATGCGTTCCAGCTCAGACGAGCTGCCAGTCTGAGTACCAACTTCGGATTGCAAGTCATTCCGGTAGTGGTTACGAGCTCGTGCACACACTAAATCTGCGTCTGGGGAAGGTAGCATCAGTAAAAGAACACCAAAAGGTATAGACAACACATACAAGCAACTGGAGCCGGTATCGAGACAGATTTGGTGGCTCTCGCAAAGACGTGGCACAGCGTGAAGCACAGAGACTGAAGCGCATCAGGCCTGTAGGTGATGTGAGTTTGAGTGCCTGTCATGGAAAGAATACAGATACACACGTGAATACAGAATCCTGAGGAGCAGAAAATGGTCAATGATGTTTTCAGGGGCGCAAAAGTCAAAACCTACGTCGTGGAGCACCTATATAAAGTTTGTCAGTGCAAGGAATGCAACATATGAAAGACAACTTACATGGTAATGGGCAGATCGACTGGTTCCCAACAACCCACCATGACTTTGTAGGTAGAAGTCGAACTCAATGGGGTGCGTGATGCCGGTGTCAACCACAGTACCAGCAGGACAGTTCCGCTCCTGTCAGCGATTGGGAAACTTTGTGTCTGGAGGCTCCTTTGGAGGGAAGAAGCTATAGACATAATATTGAGTTAACTGGACCGTACATGTCGAGAAGGGCTTACCGGAAGTGGTGTCGTTTCGCGACAATGATGAAGGTAATGCGAGGGTTGATCTTCATTTCCGTACAAACATCTATGAAGGGCATACATTTCAGCCACGGAGGATTGCCAGCTGAGCCATGATGTCATGCAAACCTCGTAGGATAGCCAATTCTGCAGAGAACGAGTGAATAGCGGGCCAAGACTTAAGCACATGTAACGAACCTTCATCTTTCACTTGCTTATACTGACTTTCAGAAACTCCATCTGATTGATGCAAGTCAGACACAGGAACTGCTGGGTATGGATACAACTTGCCTCTGAAGAAGAGAAGCCTTTGTGGCTGGAAGTTGGTCTTCTTCTCCATATTCTTGCGGTAATCCATGTACTTCCCAATGAGATTCTGCCAGACATTGAGCATTGAGAAATGAACAGTAACGGCAGGAAAGAAGCTTACGCGAGCCATGTCGCCCAAATCTGCGATGATTTCTTGACGAGCAGTTTGCACTCGTATGTCAGCAATGTACTTGGCAGCATCCGAGTCGACGTTAGCTACTAGGGCAGTATATGAAGGAGTGGTTGATCCCGGAGCTGGATGCATGACATCGGCACCTGTATGCGAATTAGACATAAAATCATAAAATTCCAATGTGAAGAGCTAGACATACCCATGATGATGGTGGGATTATGGGGGTCCGTGAGGGCAGCTGCAGATTGTGGATCGGGTCGAACATTGATGCCGCCAAGTTTAGGATTGACCCTAAGGACCATTAGTGAAGATTATGAAATGGAGAACTAGTAAACATACTTCAGCGCCACATTAGCCCAATACTGAATCTTTGCTCCTCGACATTTAGATGCTTTGAGACATTGCGTAGCACTCCGACCTTGACACAAATGAGCGACACGGCCATGGCATCAATGAAGGACTTACTTCGATGTCACCGAAACTGCATGGATGTATGAGATAAGCAGGATATATAGCGAATTGACATCAGCTTACTGTTTGACTGTACGGTAAATCTCAGCATTCCCCAATTCAGGAAGCACGACAACAAGTAGATCAGGCCCCAGTTTTCCGCCATGTTTCTGTAGACACATTTGGCCTGCCTTCTTGAGATCCTGCAGATAGATTTAAATATAGTAATAGACAAGAACATGTATAGCTTACAAGAACAATGTTCGCTTGAGGATTGGCCATATGGATGACCGGCTCTGGTTCAAGAACTCTCATACCTAGAATAATTGTCAGATCTAACCTCAAGAAATGTAGTAAACAATTACCCGTCGTTCCAAAAGCGTGTATTATATCTTTGGCCATTTGCCGTGCGGCGTTGAGGCCAAAATGAGTGTCAAATACAACAATAGCCCATCGGTTGATAGCTTGAGGCTGAACAAACTTCTTGTCCATCCTAAAAAAAAACTTAGTGTGTAGACGCTAAGAGAGAGAAAAGCAACACACATGTTCCACTGGCCGTTTCGCGGTTCCTATACGAGCATCAATTACCAAACAATTGGAATAAAGTGTGCACCTACCACAG